AGCAGCAATATCATATGGTCACTGTGCAGGATGAATGTGCAGCCACTGTAGAGCCACTCAAAATGAAAAGTGAAATGTTTATACGATATATGCATTTCAAAGTGTACAAATACATGGCAAGACATGAGAAAACGTTTCTTAGTGACCAGCAGATAATGTAATGCCATAAGGATGATCAAGATTATGAGAAAGATAGTTTAAGACAGCTATCCTAAAAGCTGCCTTTATTTTTATGTAGCTTTCTTGCTTCCCTTGTTAACTGCAACCTACTACCATTACTAAGGTAGGCATAAATTGAAAAATTTTCAATGGGGTCTGTTCTTGGCTTACATTTTCAATCAATCTCTGATTAACTTCTAAGACATGCAAACAAAGAAAAAACAAACTATGGGAATTATATGTATCTGTATAAAGAGGGAGGAAGGGAGAACACATGTGTGAGCATGCATGTGCATGCTTCAATTGAGCTCCCCAAAGGAACTATTTATTTTAATTACTCCAGACACAGGTAGATATAGATATTAAAAGAACACATTTTAAGAGGATTTTTTTAGTTCTACTGTGAGTGCAAAACTTGCTAAAGAAAATGCTTACAGGGACACTGACTGCATACTGAAGCCCTTGAGGAAGTCTGTCTTGACCTTCCATCTCATCATCATTTTTTACCGTCTCTTCATGGACCATGAGTTCATCGTGTGGGATCATTTCTTGCTGTCGAAGCTCACTTTCTTGTAACACTTCATCTGCAGAAAGAATTTCTTGGTGTGCCATAGTCCGATCTTGAAGAACTGCTTCTTGCCGTTCCACAGAAACTGCTGACTGGTCAGATGCAGCACCCATTCCAACTATATCCCTGGATGACTGCATTTGTTCTATGCCACTGCATTTAAGAAACAACCCTCCCAGCTTATCTTCAATGTTCATTCTTAAGTGCAGTAACCTACAACAACAAAACAGAATTAGTAACCTAAGCAGAATATTTTAAAGCTATAATGAGATATTGACAGAGACAAGCTCAAGTCACAATGACTGACAGAACTGTAACAATATTAGGCTACTTCCTAATCAAGTACTGATTACATATGAAATTACATTTGTAACAAAATAGTATAATTACAAAACTCTGAATATAAGTATTTTGAATACAGGACACAGCATTAGAGGTGTGGAGCGATGTCAGGCAAAATTTTTTCGAATGCTTTTTAATGGAAAATTTTCCATTTCCTATGTTCATCATATGAAAATTGTATGCTACCTGCAAAGACAATATTGGGCAAGCCCGATGGTTTCTAATTTGTAATTAATGTTTTTTGGGTGATTATTTGTAGGAAGTATGTCAGAAAACAAATATATATCTCAGACTAGGTCTGCATGACATAGCAACTTATCATAGCCACAGTAAACTGTTATGCTGTTCAAACTCAGACTAATAACAGCAGGCTGGCTTGTTCTGGGGCAACAAGATACCCTGACAACCCATGGCGTGTTGTTGGGGGTTTTAAACCCATGATAGATTGGTTGTCATCTGAACATGGGAGAATGATACCATTTTGCAGTGCCGGTAGCCACTTGGCAAGAAAAGCAAAACCTCCTTGCCTTTCTTGGTGATATTGCCCATGTCACTGCCAGTCACAGTGGCTCTAAGTATTCTCAGTTGGTGTTCTGTCACTAACTCCTTCCCCTTTAAAAATGTGAGCAGCTTCATTTTTTAATCCTATGGTCCTTTACAGGTGTTTACTTCCAAAGGACCAAAATATGGAGCACTGAAAGGGGATAATGAGAATGTCTTCCTTTCAGAGTTATGGTCCTCTAATTTTTTAAAGTATTGTTCTGACTGTTCTTATCCCTTCCACTTTTTCTACACCTCCCCTAGGCTCTAGGTACTCCATAAAAAGGTCATTTATATTCCACCCTATTTTTGCAAGCATTTTCTTTTGACAGCTGTTTGTTATAAGACCGGGGGCGGCGGCGGGGGGGTTCTTTCAAGGTTTCTTTTTGGACAGAGATCTACAGAGCCATGAAAACTGCATATATGTCCTTATTTGAAACTGAAATGGAACAAAGAAATACTGGCAGAGCAACTGAAAGTGTCCCAAATTTGAATTAAAAGTGGTTGTCAACATATCATGCATATTTCTAAATCAATTGCTAAAATAATTTAATAGTATCAACAGGTTTTTAGTAACTCTGTGAGTTTTACCATTGAATGTAAATAATCAGAGGGAAATCTAGAAATATCATAAACATTTCTACAAAATATAATATTTAAATCAAATTAATATAATTTTTATTGGATACTTTAGGTCAAATACTTGAGATGTTTTAGACAAAAAACTAACATGGGATACATTTTTAAAGCTTTGTTGTTTACCAAATGTGAGTAAAATCAAATACATGATTCTAGAGCATCAGAACATTTTGCAATGCAAACTGAAAACTTTCCTATGCAACTTTTCTTATACAAACACAACTGTGTATTGGAAAGATTTCTAATTAAACATTTCTGGAAAATCCACATGACTGGATATTTACACGGTAACTTGCTGTTTTACCCATTTAAAATCTGCTTCTGTTGACAGAAAGTTTATATCTTATGGTAAGCCTTGACTCCAGACTGAGTTGCATCTAATTGCCACTGAAGTCATGACTATCTTTTCAAACTGATTTCAGTGGGATCTAAGTATAGCCATCTTAATCTAAGCCCTATGTGTTTTACATGCAGTTGACAGTTTGACAGCTAAAAGACTAATATTACTACTAATATTAATATTGGAAGGATAAATGTGCACCTCCTATAATGCAATTGATTATGAACCTAACAATGCTTTCAACATGTGAATTGATGGCATATAGACAGCATTCTTAATGGATGGTTATTTGTTCTGTCTTTGCTGAACATTATGTATCATTTATATATTCGAGTGTAGGTAGCATATTCTCCTTTTTGCAATTTTGTTTGAAAACTTACAATAAAAATAAATTTTAAAAATGTTTTGTATGCAGTTTCAGAAGAGGGAACCCACTATTTGAGAAACAAATAGAAAACTCTCTGAGGTGCATATAATTAATATTGCAGTCCTTTGAATTCTGGTTGTTGTTGTTGTTGAATTTACACGCACACTTGGGCTTTACTGACTTAAGGTACGATCATGTGCATGATTTGATCGAAAAAGGGCTTACAACTTCCAGCATGTAACTGCAGAAGTGTGCCATAAGCAGAGTTGCATTTATGGGAACTGAGGATCCAAACTGATATGTGCTGAAATGTTCAATACAAAACTTAGCCACTATGGCCTAAAATCAAGTATTTCATATTATCATATTATTCAAAATTGATTTTTTTAATTGAACTTGTTTTGAAATTATGCCTGAGTTGGTATTATTTTGTGCAAAATGTGTAAGGCAAAGTAACACGAGTTAGAATGGGTTTTTAAAAACTTTAAAAATGTGAGCAGCACCTCTGTTCCTCCTTCCCTTCCCCCCACAGAACTCAAGCTATACCACTAAATGACTGGAAAAGTTCCAAACCATTCAACTTTACATTGGGAACACATAAAGTGCAGGCTATCCTAATCAATCAAACAGTCTAAGCAGGAAATCTTTTTAGTTTTTTGCTCAAATCAGGAGCTAACAAATACAGGCTTACAATAGAAGCCAGCACTCCAAACAAATCCACATACTGTATATAATGGCATGCTGGATTGTGGGAGTTTTGTTGCCTGAATAGCACTGATCAGAATTTCCAACATAGGAAGAATAGCGATTTCATTTGGACTCAGACATCTGGGCAAAGGATGAGATTTTTATGGCAGAATTATCCAGTCCCATTCATGGTTTCTCCAGATGATACAATCTAGTATTTGTGATCCACCCATGTTTTGTCATCACTCCTTTAGTCTTATTTCTTACCACAGAAAATCTGTTAAGGAAGGAAAGGCAGAAGAGCTGCACCATGCCTTCTGATTGGTAATACTTGGAGCCATCCATCTGGAAACATCCACATGTGTACAAAGGGAAATAGTATATGGCAGAAAACTGAGGAACAAATGACAAGAATTGTAGAATGATACCTAAAGCCATCTCACAGATGGCTTAGGAATAAAGACACAAGAGTAACGTGCTTTCTACAGGAAGAAAATGCAAAGGCAGGGGAGCTTTGGAGACAGACACATAGGCAGCGCACAAAGAAATAAAGCAGACAGTAAGGTTACTGGAATGTACACAGATCCTGAATTTCACCTATTGACCCAGATTGCACTACCACTGTGATGTGTGCCGGTGACCACTTGCCTAATTACCTGCCCATGGATGATTTGTCTTTTCAACTAAGCCAAGGTACTACAGCTTGCTTGAAGTGGAAGCAACCTTCAAATAACTGAACCAGAGGCCATGGATTATTTGATAACTGTTTCCCTCAACTAGACCACACAGTCCAGATTCAGATGACATTACAACCTGAACCCTGTAAAATAAGTAGGCAACAAGGAATCAGCACATACCAGCGAATGCCACAGCTTAAACAAGCTAGCAAGTTTGTTTAAACTGAGGTGACTGTTCAAACCAGGCCACTGATTTCACTTTATTTTTATTACTTTTTATACCACCCAATAGTCAAAGCTCTCTGGGCAATTCACAACAATTTTAAACAATTAACTGCAGGGAACTCTGACTGCAAAGCTTTCATTACAAGAAAAACATTAATTCCCATGCCCACCTATGTTCTCTCTTCCATCTCCACAGGCAAGCAATGACAGATAAAATAGCTTCATCAGTCTAGCAAGGGCTTTTCTGAAAGTGTATCTAAAATTAAAATGATACAGTTAAACTCAATGAAAGAGTTTCCTGACCCAAAGTCTGGATAATGTGCCCTGGTCAACTAGCACACTGTGAAGAGCAGTGAGAAGTCCAGCAACAGTGGAGAAATAGTCTCTGGAGATAGCTGTAACCACTTGTATTTAAAGGAGCCATAGAATGCTATGGGAGGCCAAGATTAGCCAGAAAGACCAAGGAACTGCAGAGAGGAAATAGCTAACAGGCCTAGTCCTCCCATGAGTTAATATCTCACTTCAAGTAGCAAATCTGCAAGGCAGCAGATCATCTCTCCCCCTGTTGCTGCTGTCATTGCCACCAGGCCCAGTCTAATGCCTCACACTGAGGACTCCTCAGAGCATCAGATTCAGCACCCTGAAGAATCCTACTCTCTTGCAAGCCTGTAAATTCTCCTAGATGTCTCAGTGACTTTTGCTACCAAAGACTATGGTGTCCTGCTAGACCAGCTCTGCAGATTGGTTCAAGGAGCACCATGCTTTCACTGCTATCTGGTTGCAAAAACAGCATGGGGGAATCTGCTAAACTCTGTGGCATTTACTGTGAGGTACTGCAAGGTTCCATATTAGCCCTCAAAGCTTTAAATATGTATATGAAGCCAGCTGGTGAGACACTAGGGCATTGGAAATGAGGTGCCATCAATACCCTAGTGACACGCAACTCTATTTCTCTTTGCCATCCAAGTCAGGCAATGGCCATGAAAATACTGATTCAACTTAGTCACAGCTGGATAAGAGCCATTGAACTAAATCCTGAGAAGATGGAGAGAATAGGTGGTTCTCATGTTTGGTAACTGGATGTGCAGCCTATTCTAGATAAGGTCACACTCCCTTTCAAGGGAACCTTTGGGGAACTCCTGCATCCAGGCGGGTTCAGTAATATTGAGTGTCTTTTACCAGCTTTGCCTAATTTGTCAGCTACAACTGTTCCTTGTAGGTTGGTAGGATTTGTCTTCTCTCTTGATTGGAATTCTATGTGTAGTACATGACACTTTCATTGAAAATGATGCACAAAATTCAACTTGTGCAGAATATAGGTAATATTAACAGGTAGGGGAAGTCCAAAGGATGTTGCACTGGTTGCTGATCTGCTCCCAGGCTCAATAAGGCACAG